GGGTGTATTCATCCCAAATGGTATATTGAATATTCGAATTCCTGATTTAAGACTTGTTAAAACACTTAAAAAGTTGTTGTTCTACCTCTAAACTAAACCTTTGGAGGTTGTGGTATCATCTGTCATCTGGAAGGGTAGTTGGAGGTAGGTTTGGGACTAATTAGGATGCCCGTTTACTTATTGGGTTGGGAAAAAAACATAACAAAACAGCAAATAGTGGAAAGGATAAACATGACCAATTTGTCTAAAATTTGAAGAAAAAAAAAATAATACATAGTTTAATCTTACGTAAATAATTACAATTGAACCATGAAATTGCCAAATAAGATGGCAGCAGTAAATTCTCAAGCTTGTTGTGTCCTGTCCATCGATCTGAGCAAAGAACCATACGTTAAAAGAGCATTGGGAATTACTATTTGTTAGCGGATTCTTTCACTGATGAATGATTTGTTGTCGAGTAAAATTTAGTGAAAACATAGCGAAAATGATTTGACACCACTAAATGTTAAAGATAAAGCACAACTGGTGGGCACAAAGTGTTTGTTGACTTGAAAGTCAGAAAACANGTCGAGTAAAATTTAGTGAAAACATAGCGAAAATGATTTGACACCACTAAATGTTCAAGATAAAGCACAACTGGTGGGCACAAAGTGTTTGTTGACTTGAAAGTCAGAAAACACAACTCTCAGTTAGTCTATTTTCAGGTGGTCCAACTCATGCTCAAAAAAATACAGAAAAAAAAAAGGTGGTCTGTGGTCCTAAAATGCAGCGTGCACACGGCTTGTCAATCATATAATGCAATTAGCAATAATGTCGTATTTGATGATATTTTGTAATATTAAAATATTACTATTATTAAAATATAATTTAAGAATATAATTTAGGAACATAATTTAATAATATAATTTAAAGACATAATGTATTATGACTATTAGATTGATATGAAAATATATTTAATGTTGAGATTTACTGACAATACAATACAATAATCATAATTATTATGTCTTATGCTCGTACTAAAAATTGAGTATTGATCATATAATATTTATATTTTAAATTATAATTTTTAATTTAATATTTTATTTAAAATTAAAATAAACACAGAGAAAAAAAGAAAAATGTATGTGTGGATTATTAGAGTTATCTGATATTGAGGAGTCTGTTGATTGAGTTACCTGACATTGGGGGTTGTATAGAGAAGAAAGATGTTTTTCAGCAAAATATATATATATATATATACAAATTTTATACCATTAAATCAAAACGAATAAAAATTAGATAAATCGTGACCGCTTTTATAAATTAATACTTTAACTTACTAAATATTAGATAAATTTGATTGAAATCTCTAGGTCCNTCTGACATTGGGGGTTGTATAGAGAAGAAAGATGTTTTTCAGCAAAATATATATATATATATATATATATATATATATATAGACAAATTTTATACCATTAAATCAAAACGAATAAAAATTAGATAAATCGTGACCGCTTTTATAAATTAATACTTTAACTTACTAAATATTAGATAAATTTGATTGAAATCTCTAGGTCCCATTATGATGATATATACATTTCTTGAGTTATAGGTTGTTTGATTACACCACTTAATACTTAAAATTGAATACTTTAAGTACTTAATGAATTAAACTCACTTAATAACTTAAAATTTATACCACTTAATATTTTAAGCACTTTTTAAAAATAAACTAAAATTTTAAGTAGCAAATCACTTACTTATCACTTAATATTGAAAATATTAGTCACTAATATTTTCATCAGCTGACTTTGGGTGAGATCCTGTCAGTCAACNATCACTTACTTATCACTTAATATTGAAAATATTAGTCACTAATATTTTCATCAGCTGACTTTGGATGAGATCCTGTCAGTCAACTAAGCTTTTCTATACGGCCTAAGAAAAACTGGAATGAGTTTGACTATTCAACAAAGTTACGACCATTCAACAGCTAGGCCGTAACCTTCTGAGAGATCATACGTGTCATTGCTTGTAACGCAACTGTGTCAGTAGATATTGTATATTGGTCAAATATAACAGTGGGAGAAACAGGCGGTACATTTCCGGTGGAAATACTAACAGAAGTCTCAATAGTAGAGATCTTAACAATAGGAGTTTCATGTCCCTCAGTAGTAGCCATATCAGGCACTTGTGATAGAAAAAAAAATTTAAGATAAATAAAGAGATAAAATAATATATTTTCAGTCAAACAGTAGTAACAAATAAAAAAAGTTTAGAAAGTTCTCAAATAATTAGGTCACGATGCCTAAAAATTTAGTAAATATAAATAATTGATCTACTGTATCAAGAATAGATTAATGGAGAAGAGGATTCATCCCCATTTAAAAGGTCTTAGATGCTGCAACATTACGACAAAGAGTGCGAAACACGAAGGCACATAAAGGCCAAAAAGAAGTTGTGACGAAGAGTGCGACCTGACAGTGGGCTGGTTCGCTGGGTTTGGGGCTGGTCTAAGTTCGTCGCGGGTAATAGGCTGGTCTGGGTTTGGGCAATGGGGTGGGGTGGGGTGGATCGCTGGGTTTGTGGTTTTGGGTTTGTGGGATGAAGCAGTCTTGGGGCTTGTATGTCGATGCTTGTATGTCGTTGGGTTTTGTCTTGCCGTCGGTTGGATTGAGGTTTCTGGGCAGTGTGTTTGTCGGTGTGGGTTGCTGGCTGCTATGTCGGTGGACTGGGCAGTGGGTTTTGCGGTGTGGGTTGCTGGCAACTGTGTTGGTGGAGCCTTGTTTTTCGGTGTTATGGGTTTATCGGTGTGGGTTTGGACAGTAGGTTTGTCGGTGTGGCTGTTCGGTGCCCAGGATTGAGGTCCTAGATGGAGGTTGTTCGGTGTTGTTAGCTGGGTTCAATGTTTGTGGGTAGGCAGTCTTAGTCGGTGTATTGGTGTGTTGGTTTGATATTTGTTGGCAGTGGAGTGGGCAGTCGGTGTGGTGGGCAGTTGAGGCGGTGGGTGGCTGTTGGGTTGGGCAGTAGAATTGGCTGGGTTGGGGCAGTCACGGTGGCTGGTGGTTGCGACGTGAAGGAGGGGGCTGGTGGTTGTGACATGGAGGAGGGGCTAGGGTTAGGGTTTTGATTATGATACCAACTTGATTTATTGGTGAGTATAAAGGGATATAAATTAAGTATAAAACTCTCGTATATATAGTCGATAAAAGTCGTAATAAAGATAAAAAGGTAAAAATGAAAAAAACTCTAATAAAGTTAATAAACTAGAGTGTCAACCTATTAGTTTATCAGATCTAATGTGTTTATATAAGCCCGTTAAAACTAAAACAATATCTACTAATTTTGCGTGAATTTCTTGTTGAGTTAGCAGGTGGGGTGTCTTGGATTTCCCGACCTCCTTTCAATTTCCCCTCTATAAAACCCTGATTACTTGTTTTGGACCATGACATAATAATCACAATGTATGGACCAGTACCTATAAAAATTGAAGTCTTAAGAGGTAAAAGCTTCTGCTTATCCTCTCCTCTACCCTTTTCCTAATTGTTGAATTCTTGTATTTTTTTAATTGTTCTGGAATTCTTCCATATTACCTGAATTCTATCATCGAAAAGAAAAATAATAGATATGCTAGAATTCAAACTCTAATGATAGAGTCACATAATATCCCAGGAGGGCTATGACCCCCAGAGTTTTTTCAAAAACTNTATATCCCAGGAGGGCTATGACCCCCAGAGTTATTTCAAAAACTCACCAGGATCTATGGTGTGTTTGTCATGGTCTTCTAAATATTTGTAACAAAAAAATAGTTGCCTTGGCCAAGTGAATAGGAGGGGTTGACTTAACCCTATTCGTTTTTTTGGAAAGTCAAGCCCTCATATTCACTAGGCCTAGGAATGTATTTTTTTTTTTTCATTTAGAAGACTAGTAGTACAAATAGAGTGCACAAATGTGATCATCAGAATTTTTCCTTTTTGGTCAGAAAAAGAACTTATATTTGAAAAACAAAAAGTCCATCACAAGGATGTATTACATCAAAACAGTCATCGTATCCCTACTTTAGCTTCCCTACTCAAGACGCTCAGGATCTGGAGTGGTAACTCTTCCACCCAATTGTTGGGTAAACTCCCAACTCTTACCTATATAGTTGCACTGTGTGCTGCTATATTTGCCTCTCTTCTAATTGCTTTGAATTGGACTTGTGGGATGTGTTTCTTATACTCCCAAATCTCCTTTTGATCATCAGAAAGATCAAAAGGATGTAATTGGTAACTATTTTGGCCTGGATGATTGAATCTTCAATTGGATTTTATGGACATGCGTCAATGTGTAAAATGATAAACAAGCTCCATCTGCAATTATATATGAGAAATGGTATTTAGATTTAAACTGTGTACTTAATAATCATAACTATTGAATATGTAGTATGTCTCAATAAATACTGAAATTAACAATAAAATTAATAGTTGTAATTATCAAGTGTACTCTTTAAGTCATTATATATGCTGTACGCGCAACTCCATTACTTATATATCAGCTGTATTNTTGTGTACTTAATAATCATAACTATTGAATATGTAGTGTGTCTCAATAAATACTGAAATTAACAATAAAATTAATAGTTGTAATTATCAAGTGTACTTTTTAAGTCATTATATATGCTGTACGCGCAACTCCATTACTTATATATCAGCTGTATTTCTAAGGGTAACACTACTATACCGCCAACCTACTTTTTGGTATGATACTAAAAAGTAAGTTGACCTGTATATATGACACGTAGGTCTTTAAAACTGGTGAAACTTGTTGTTTTCAGTACCTACCCCAAAGAGACATAAGACATCCAATAGAGTTGTACCTGACCAAAAGAGTTGTACCTCNCAAAAAGTAAGTTGACATGTATATATGACACGTAGGTCTTTAAAACTGGTGAAACCTGTTGTTTTCAGTACCTAGCCCAAAGAGACATAAGACATCCAATAGAGTTGTACCTGACCAAAAGAGTTGTACCTCGCAAAAAAGAGTTATACTCACATCCAAAAAATTGCAACCATCCATTAAAGTTTAGCAGATCCAATAGAGTTGTATCCAGCCAAAAGAGTTGTAACCCAATTATTAATATCAGTTATATACTTAAGGGAAAATTTTATTATTGCCCCTATGTATTTTCTCTTAAAAAAAATTATAGACATAATGTGGTATAAAAATATTACTTGAAGGAGAAATATAAGGAACAAAATAAAAATATTGTTATACTTTAAGGGTGTAAGTGTAATTTACTTATGGATGAATTAAGACCGATCGTGGGAATGGACGACTAATCCTGGTGTAATATTACAGTTTAATCCTTTTGATATTACACTTTTATCCTTTAATATTATACTTTTAACCTTTTGATATTACACTNAGATCCAATAGAGTTGTATCCAGCCAAAAGAGTTGTAACCCAATTATTAATATTAGTTATATACTTAAGGGAAAATTTTATTATTGCCCCTATGTATTTTCTCTTAAAAAAAATTATAGACATAATGTAGTATAAAAATATTACTTGAAGGAGAAATATAAGGAACAAAATAAAAATATTGTTATACTTTAGGGGTGTAAGTGTAATTTACTTATGGATGAATTAAGACCGGTCGTGGGAATGGACGACTGATCCTGGTGTAATATTACAGTTTAATCCTTTTGATATTACACTTTTATCCTTTAATATTATACTTTTAACCTTTTGATATTACACTTTTAACCTTTTGATATTATAAGTCATCAAATTAATGTCTAACATCATTCAATAAATATTCAATTTATCAAACCAACGTCAAATTAACATGCAATTTCATCCAATTAANAATAAGTCATCAAATTAATTTCTAACATCATTCAATAAATATTCAATTTATCAAACCAACATCAAATTAACATGCAATTTCATCCAATTAAAACTCAATTCATCAAATTTACACCAAANGTCATCAAATTAATGTCTAACATCATTCAATAAATATTCAATTTATCAAACCAACGTCAAATTAACATGCAATTTCATCCAATTAAAACTCAATTCATCAAATTTACACCAAATTAACATTCAATTCTTCAAATTAACATTTAATTTTACCTAATAAACATATAATTCATAATGTGGCTGCATTAAAAAACACCCATGAATGCTTGATGAGTTGAGAGCAGGAGTTTGAGCTTGGAGCTTGAGCTGGATGCTTGAGCTAGAACTGGGAGTTAGAGTTGAATGTTTGAACTTGGAGCTTGCTTATCAGAGAAGAAGGTGAATAGTCTTATACGTTGAGAAACCTATGAGATAGGGCAGCTGAACAGACGTGTGAACAAAAGAGACCAAAACACAGACTCTTGCATTTTCGATGAGAGAAACAANGCTTGCTTATCAGAGAAGAAGGTGAATAGTCTTATACGTTGAGAAACCTATGAGATAGGGCAGCTGAACAGACGCGTGAACAAAAGAGACCAAAACACAGACTCTTGCATTTTCGATGAGAGAAACAACCTTTGAGAGATCTTCTCCCTTTGAGCACTTGCAAAATAGCAGAAAAGATCTTACACATGTTTAGGTGTTGGCCTCATGCCACAACAAAGAGAAGCGTAAGCCTTTTATCTAGAAGCATTGTAGAAGATGAATATCCAGCATGAAGACCAAGAGACGTGGATAGATCTTGGAGGATGCAGAGGGAATTCTTCGAGAAGTGCTGGGATGTAAAGGCATATGAACAGTCCTCTGCTGCCAAAGACGTCTGTAAGAATGGTGAAGAAATACAAATGTTGAAGCAGGACACCCAAAGAAAGCATCTGAAGAGAAGATAAGAACACTAAATGGGTCCAGATTTCTTCTCCATATCCAATGCACCAAATAAAGAAAGGGTCTGATTGTGGGTAATCATGCCCAGAAACTGAAGAGAATTATCANAAAGGGAAGATAAGAACACTAAATGGGTCCAGATTTCTTCTCTATATCCAATGCACCAAATAAAGAAAGGGTCTGATTGTGGGTAATCATGCCCAGAAACNGAAGAGAAGATAAGAACACTAAATGGGTCCAGATTTCTTCTCCATATCCAATGCACCAAATAAAGAAAGGGTCTGATTGTGGGTAATCATGCCCAGAAACTGAAGAGAATTATCAGAAATTCCAAGGCAACATAGAAATTGAAAGTACTGGCAGTCGAAGCAAACACAGAGATTTGAAATCTGGATTCAGTAATGGACAAGAATGCAATCAAAACAGAGAACCTATNACTGAAGAGAATTATCAGAAATTCCAAGGCAACATAGAAATTGAAAGTACTGGCAGTCGAAGCAAACACAGAGATTTGAAATCTGGATTCAGTAATGGACAAGAATGCAATCAAAACAGAGAACCTATGGTGGAATCTGAAAAGACAGAGTCTGTAAATCCGAAGGGTCTTCCAAGACATGATGCAAGGGCTGTACTGTGAGTTTCCATGTCCAGGTGCCTGCTATATTCTTCTCCACTTGAGCTTTTATATCTCTCGTAGAAAAGGAATGATCCTGTATTAAATTTTGAATTGCATTTTTGTTATGACTCTCAATCATCCAAAATTTATGCATGTCTTCTTTCTTAAGACTTTTAGCTTCATAGCATCTTGTAGCATTAATCAATTTGAGGCAAAATCTGTATAANTTATGCATGTCTTCTTTCTTAAGACTTTTAGCTTCATAGCATCTTGTAGCATTAAAAATCTTGAAGAGGTGGGAAGAAGATCAGAATTAGAAGGGAGAAGAAGATTGGTCTGAGACCCCTTTGTTTGCCAAAAAGTCAGCCACAGAGTTACACTCTCTGTAAATGTGTTGGATTTGATAATTGAACTTGGATAGGAGAGAAGTTAATTTATGCGATAGGAACCATAATTTCCACGAAGTGCTGCATGTTTGATTAACCATATTTGCCAAGACATGGGAATCAGTTTCAATAAAAATGTGATTTAATCTTCATAAAAGGCTCCCTGATTGAAGGGATCTTAAGATATCGAAGAAGATCCAGACCTGTAGGAGTATCCACAAATTCTTCAAATCAACATTTAATTCTTCAACTTAGCATTCAATCACATCCAATTAATATTAGATTCATAAAATTAACACAAAATTAATATTCAATTTTTCAAAATTATATTCAAATTCATTAAATTAATACTCAATTTATCAAATTATCATCGAAAATTATCCAATTAATTTAACAAATCAACATCAAAGTAACATACAATTTCATTCAATAAACATTTAATTCATCAAATCAATACCAAATTAATATTCAATTCAACAAATTGACATTCAATTTCATCTAATAACATTTAATATTCAATTCATCAAATTTATACCAAATAAACATTCAATTCATCATATTAACACCAAATTAAAATTCAGTTCATCCAAATAATATTTAATTCATTAAATTAATATTCAATTTATCAAATTAAAATAAAAAATCATCTAATAAAGATTTAATTCATCAAATCAACACCAAATTAATATTCAATTCAACAAATTAACAATGTCATCTAATATCATTTAATATTAAATTTATCAAATTTAAACCAAATAAACATTCAATTTTATCAAATAAACTTTTTGGGTGGGCGTTTTAACTTTTTTGAATTGAGTTATAACTTTTTAAGATGAGCTGTAACAGTTGGGGAAGGGTTCCAACTTTTATGGTGAGATTTTAACTATTTTGGATAGGGTTATAATTTTTTGGAATAGAGTTTTAACTTTATGGTTGAGGTTTTAACTTTTTTGAATTAAATTATAACTTTTTGGAGTGGGTTCTAATTGTTGAGGGAGGGGTTTCAACTTTTTGGGTAGGGGTTCCAACTTTTTTGGTAGGAGTTTTAACTCTTTTGGAGTGGGTTCCAACTTTTTTGGGTAAATGTTCTAACTTTTTTGGGTAGGGGTTCCATCTTTTTTGGTAGAGGTTACAACTCTTGAGGAAGTGCTCAAACTTTTTTGGAGGTTCTAACTTTTAGGGGTAAAGGTTTCAACTTTTTGGCTGAGGTTTCAATTTTTTGAATTGAATTATAACTTTTTGGGTGGGTTCTAACCGTTGTAGGAGGGGTTCCAACTTTTTCGGTAGAGGTTTCAACTTTTTTGGTAGGGTTCTATAACGGTTGGGGTGGATTCCAATTTTTTTTGGTAGAAATTTCAACTCTTAGGGAGAGGTTCCAACTTTTTTGGAGGTTCTAACTTTTTGGCTAGGTTTTAATTTTTTGAATTGAATTATAACCTTTTGGGTGAGTTTTAAGTGTTGGGGGAAGGTCCCAACATTTTCAGTAGGGTTCCAACTTTTTTGGTAGGGGTTTCAACATTTTTTTGGGGTGGGTTCCAACTTTTTTAGGTAGGTTAGAGATTCCAACTTTTTTTATAGAGATTTCAATTCATTAAATTAACATTTAAATTCACTATTTAATATTCAATTCATCAAATTAAAACCAAATTAACATTCAATTTTTCAAATCAACACTAAACTAACATTCAACTTATCAAATTAATACAAAATTAATATTCAATTCATTAAATTCGCATTCAATCTTATCTAATAAATATTTAATTCATCAAATTAGCATAACATTCAATTTCCATCAAATAAAATTTTAATTTGTCAAATTAGCACTAAATTAACATTCAATTTATCCAATATATATTCAAATTCATCCAATTTACACTCAATTCATCAAATTAACATCCAAAATCATCTAATAAAAATTAAATTTACCAAACCAACACCAATGTAATATAAAATTAATTTCATCCAATTAATATTCAATTCTTCAAATTAACACTAAATTAACTTTTAATTCATCAAATTCACATTCAATTTTGTCTAATGCATAATTAATTCATCAAATTAACTTAACATTCAATTTCATCAAATAAATATTTAATTCATCAAATTAATACTAAACTAACATTCAATTCATCCAATTTATATTCAAAATCATCCAATTAACATTCAATTCATCAAATTAACATCTAAAATCATCTAATAAAATTCAATTTATCAAACAAACACCAATGTAATATAGAAATTTATTGAATAAACATTTAATTCACCAAATCAACACCAAATTAACATTCAATTCAACAAATTAACATTTCGTTTCGTATAATAAACATTCAATTCATTAAATTAATATTTAAATTAACTATTTAAAATTAAATTTATCAAATTAAGATTCAATTTCATCCAATTAATATTCAAATCATCAAATTAACACCAAATTAATATTCAATTCTTCAAATTAACATTAAATTAACTTTCAATTCATCAAATTAACACAACATTAATATTCAATTCATCAAATTCACATGCAATTCCATCTAATAAATAATTAATTCATCAAATTAACTTGACATTCAATTTCATCAAATTAACATCCAAAATCATCTAATAAAATTCAATTTATCAAACCAATACCAATGTAATATAGAAATTTATTGAAAAAACATTTAATTCATCAAATCAACACCAAATTAACATTCAATTCAACAAATTAACATTTTGTTTCATATAATAAACATTCAATTCATTAAATTAACACCAAATTAACATTCAATTCATCAAATCAATAGCAAATTAACATTAAATTCACCAAATTAATATAAATTTTATGAATTGAATATATATAGTTGGTATTGATTTCATCAATTGAACATAAATTTGGTGTTAATTTGACAAATAAATATGTATCGATTAATTTAATATTAATAGTTGAATTTAAATGTTAATTTTATTAATTGAATGTTTATTAGATGAAATTTAATGTTAATTTAGCGTTGAGTTAATAAATTAAATGTTTATTTGATTAATTTTCATATTATTTGGTGTTGATTTGATAAATTAAATTTTTATTGGATGAATTGAATGTCGATTTGGTGTTAATTTGATGAATTTAATATTTATTTGGATGAATTAAATGTTAATTTTGTATTAATTTGATGATTTAAATATTAATTTGATGAAATTGAATGTTAATTTAATCAATTGATTGTTAGTTTGATAGTATTTTGTGTTGGGATAGGAAAAAATGAAAATATTGTTATAGTTTAGAGGTGTAATTGTAATTTAAATTAAGACCGGTCCTAGGAATGGTGGATCGATCCTGTGTATAATTACATTTATTTTCCTATCATATTACACTTTTCCTTTTCATATTACACACACTTTTATCCTAATCCTAAAGAAGAAATCGATCGTCCATTCCGTACATAGGAGCAGCATGTCTCAGGCAGATTAGGAAGGAACCTCAAATGTGTTTCAGCCAGACCATTCCACCATTCACGCCTTCATCCAAATCGACTCAAGCATTGAACCTAACCCTAAGATCGATTTCAAGCATTCGAAATCGATCGATTTCAAGCATTCGAAATCGATCGATTTCAAGAAGAACAAGTGTTCGAACCCTAACTTCAAAACCTTAACCCTAACTCCAAAAAGCCTCCAAAACGCCTTTGATTTCAAGCATTCGAAATCCCTTTGTTTCAAGAAGAACAAGTGATCGATTTCAAGCATTCGAAATTCATTTGATTTCAAGAAGAACAAGTCAGCCAATCGATCGTTACCAAACCTAACTCCAAAACGCTTCAAATCTCACTGCAAGTAAATATTCTATAACATATGAATGTGTGTGGTCAGTGTTTGTATGCGACCAGTTTGGTTTGTACGTGTGTAAGGATGTCAACCGTTCCATATTTATTTTCTCGTATGATAGATTTTTTATGTTTGATTAGGTATATACCTTTTTTCTGGTAATGTATCAGAACAACAGAGATACACAAGAGAATTCAACAAAAATTTTGATGGAAACAAAGAAGAAGAGGAAGGCTGAGGGAAAGTATCGGCCTAAAGTGGATATATGTGGAATTGGGCAAATGAAGAATAAACATGTTGGTGATCACTCCAATTGTCCAAAACCTCCAAATGTGGTCCATTATTCCAGTTGATCCCTCTCATCCAAAACAAAATAAAAAAGTTGATCACTCCTCATCTCTTCCAAATTTGGTAAGTTCATCCAACCCAAATTTAGTAAGTTCATCCATTCCAGTAATTACTTTTTTCAGCAGAATTAGTAAATAGCTTTATCATAATTGGTTTTGTCATAGGCCTATGTTACTAGAGTGTGGTGCTCAGCTAGATAAGATGACAAATGTGGACTGTGATTTTTAGTTTGCGACATTGAAATTCTATAGTTGAAATAGATAAGAACGATAAAGCTTATGATGGATTAGTGAGGATATTTTATGCAAATGTGCATGATGTAGAGAAGGAAGATTTGAAGTTTAAATCGTATATGAGAAATGTACATTTTGAAGTGAACCCGAATTTGATTTCAAAGATATTGAAGGTTCCCTCACCCTTTATTGTTGACAATACTGTTACATACCCATACAAGAATCTCAGTGATAAACCTACCACCGAGGATGTTGCAACAGAACTTTATGGTAGACCTTTTAATCTGAAAATAGAGACATTTTATCAAAGATATCTCACTAACAATTATAGGGTTTTAAACCGTATAGTGGGATGTAATATTAATCCAAGAGGACACAGTTCTAATTTTGGACTTGATAGAGCTCATCTACTCTATGCCATTGGGAAGGGGATAAGTATATATCTCCCTTGTCTAATATTTAATGACATTGTTTCGGCGTTTGACGTTAAAGATAAACGAAAAAGTTTCTCATTCTCCATCTTAATTTCAAAGATCATGATGTATTATGGAGTTTTCATTCACCCAACCGACACTTTTAAGTCTCCTATGAGTCCATTTGCTGGATGCACATTAAAAAAAGGTTTGGGACAAACCGATTCATATGATCCAGATGATTATGATCCAGATCCACGGGAGACAGATGGGGCAAGTACTTCTGCAGGGGATAACAATATGCTTTTTGCAAATGCTTAAACAGATTTTGGCAAACCAAGAGGAGTTACAACAAGAAATGAAGGAGTCTCTCGAGCAAATACGTGAAGACACAAAAGAGCCTCTCAAGCAGCTCCGTGATAACACCAAGGAGTCTCTCAAGCAGCTACAGGAAGATACCAAAGAGTCTCTGAAATAGTTGGAGAATAAATTATTAACTCAAAAAAAAAAAATGAGTACTACTCTTTTTAAGTTGTTGGATTGTAGATAACATTTTAGCTGTTCAATTGTAAATTTTACTATGTAATTTTGTTGATGGTATATAAATTGAAAGTGGATGTTATGGTATTTTGTTGATGGTATGTAAATGAAAAATGGATGTCATGGTGTTTTGTTGATGCTATATAATTTCAAAGTGGATGTCATGATGTTTGGGGATGCTATGTTTGTAATATAATGCTAGAAATACACAATATAGTTGGTTTCTTGATGCATTTTGAAATGCTAGGAATGCACAATATAGTTGGTTTCTTGATGCATGTTGATGCACACAACATGTTGAGTAGGGAACATACTTTTGCCATTTAAAAAGGTGTCCAATGGTCTTCATCTTCATATGTTGGCAAGGGTTGTTGTGATCCACCGGGTTGGGATAATGGCATCTCGAGCACTGGTTCTTATGATGGATGAGGAAAATAATGGAGATTGTGTGGTTGGTGCGATTCATCTAGATGTAAAAATGGCAAGTTCTCATATGGATCATTCAAATGGGGCGTAAGTGGTGGACATATTCTAACAGTATGTCTGATACCCTTACATTTACTACACATTCGTGGGATAATTGAAATGTTCTTTTGAACCTGTCCTGGATTTCCCTTAGTCTTCACAATTTTTGGGTCACCCACACCAATTTTGCCATTTTTCACATTCATGTTGACATGGGATATTTGAGACTCATCATAACCTCTAGTTGCTGACTCATGATGGGCTTGTAAAGCAGAGGTTTGCTAATGCACCATATTTCTCACGTCGTTTGTTTTTGACATTGACTGTGAAGCATAGTAGCACATTCTGCTGCACATTGACATGAGTCCAGCATATCTTCTAGAAACTGATGGGAAACTCAATGTATGCAATACATCATTTGTTTGATAATCGGATTTTGTAGTAATTGTCCACCTTTTCATCACACTGCTAGGAGGAAACTCTTTGAGGTGCTCACACTTCATGATGACAATCGTATGAGAGTAGGGAATCCCAATAGATTCAAATTTCATGCAATTACATTTAAACGTATGAATGCCAGGATAATATTGAACAATCCACCTAGATTCAGGTTGTGTGAACTTGGACAAATAGTAACTCCGATGTGTTATGCTCTCAATTTTATCCACTACAAAAAATAGAGCTTCATCTTTCAATTGATCACGAACTTTGAAGAATATTTTTCTGGTATATATCTTGGAAGCTTTATCCTCTAAGCATTTAAGTGCTGTTGTGAGCACTGGCTCAGAGTGTTCTGACTCATAGTCCTTATTGGCCTTGGTCTCTCTGATTCTTGCCAAGCCTCTATCGTGTTGCCTAACAAACTCAAACAGTCTTTGACGTATTTTTAGGAAGCGATTTAGGTATGCATTCAAACTTTCAGACCGTTGCGTACTTGTTTGTCCTGTAAAAAATATCCCCCGTAAGTATGTTTCAGCCCATTTGAATCTCTTTACATAAACTTCAGCAATCCAATTATTAGTCTCCAGGCCAAATAATTCAACCATTGATTTCCATAAATCTTCAAATTCTTCCGGTGTACATCGAGTGCACATACATCTCCTGAATGCTTGGACAAAATTTTCAGAATTTATATTTGTGAAAGCATTTCGGGCCAAATGCCACCTACATAAGTGGTGTGTTGCCTGTGGAATTATTATTTCTATTGCAGCAGTCATTGCTTTATCCCCATCTGTAATAATGGAGATTGGCATCTTATTATCCATTGCATGAAGAAAAGTAGATAGCACTCACACATATGTTTCCACAGTCTGATATGAAAGTAATGCACAACCAAATATATTTGTAGCATTGTGGTGATTGACACCTGCAAATATCACAAATGACTTCTTATAAACATTTGTTCGATATGTAGTATCAAACGTTAGTACGTCACCAAAACACTTGTAGTCTATTTGGGAAGTCAAATCCGCCCAAAACAAACAATGTAGCGAATTGTCTTTAGTGACGTTATACTTGAAATAGAATAGTGGGTCCAACTCTTTCTTGGTGCTCAAGTATGCCAATGCACTCTCAGCATCACCATCCCTCATTTCTTCTCGACGTTGGGATGTTACATCATTGTACAAATCCTTCGTGGTAAATCCAATATTTTGATATCCTCCCGATTGTTGCAACATGAAATCTCTAATCTGACTTGTTCGAAAACCAACATTACACAATGATGTAGCCTGTGCTCTGTCAAGACTCTTAACACTCCTATGTGATCGAAGAAATGACATAGCATTAAAAGGGGTTTATGCGAGTGGATCTTGAATAGATTTGACCCTAATACTTGTACTCTTAATGTGTACAACAAATCTATGGTGTTTACTCCAGTGGATGTTGAATGGATCTTGGGGTTAAAGTTTGGTGGGGATGAATTGTAGACAAACGGATCCCCGTCATTAATTACAGATCTTCAACAATCAATATTTGAAAACAAAAAGGAGTTGTCGTTGCGTGACATAAAGTACAAACTACTGAAATTGAAAGAGGATTCCAAAGAATTTTGGCATTACTTTGTTCTATTTGCTATTGGGCATTTCCTGTGCCTCACAATGAAGTGCACAGTGAATGACACATTATTGAACATGGTATTGGACGTCTCATCTTTGAAGGGTAGGAATTGGGCCAAGTATGTGTTTGATGCTATCATTCAGGGAGTACGAGATTACAAGACGACAAAACGGCAAAGTGTCAATGGTCGCATTCTTGTTCTCATGGTAACATATTTTTATTTGATTAATGTTGATTGGTAGGCTTCTATGGACTTTGATTTTTATTAATCATATTACATTTGTGTCAAATAGATTTGGAACTTTAAGTGTTTCACCCTAGAAATAGAGATGGTGGTGCCATTGGTTTCTCGACCGTGTCCACGCACTGTATCATGGGGGGACAACGAAATAAGTAATCACCTACATCTTCTAAACAAGTTAGGAGGCTACAAAAGTGACAAGGTAAATCGGTGTGATATAATCCTTTTTGTATCGTTTATTCATGGTATCTCATAATTATATACTACTAATAACATAACATATTTTGCATTCTTGAATTAGGTTAAGTTATCAGTTGATGCATTTGATGGGTGTGCCGTGACCCTCCAGTTGTCAAGGAAGTTGTCAAGGAAGGCATCTACTCAGAAGCGGGAGTTCCAATGTAGTTACATAAATAGGTATTGTTCCACACCTACCGTTAATGTTTGGATTTCCAATGTTGTTTGTTTGTTTAAACAAAAATTTTCTATTTACTTAGGATTTTAAAGCAAGGCTCCTAAGATTAGAGGTGGATCAGGCCACCACCAAGAAAGCCATGTGTGAGGATTCAATAAAGGTGTATAACGAGCTTGCCACAATGAAGAATTGGATACAAGAGTTGTCCGACAAATTGAACGACTTTTGCAACAAATCTAAATCAAGAAAATTTGAAGAAAGAGTCACACAAGTTGATAGTGGTGATAAAGGCGCGGCAATAAAGCTTGTAAAATTTTGTTGTTGTTTGGTGTATTATTTTCTGCATCTTTTTTTTTTTAATTGTTAAGTCTTGGAATGTTGTACTCATAACATTGACTAAAATTGATAGGATGAAGTCAGTACAGCTGATGATGATGATTACATAGTGGACACTTCAATGAAGGATACATAAATAATCCGAGAACTTCCCTGCTTAACACAATATGTATGCATTATTGGTACATGATTCATTAATGCAATGTTTTCGTGCTCTTGTAGGAACCTACTGCAGATACAAGGAAGGAGTTAGCACTCAGTCTTGTCACACATGTTGACAACAACCGTAGGGACATGATAGTTTTTAGGGCGTCAAATGGTTAAGAGTTTTTTTGTGGTTGCAAGATTGTTGGTTCTAACTTTTTGGGGTTGGATTCCAATTTTTGGGTGGGGTCTAACTTTTTGAGGTTGGATTTGAATTTTTTTGCTGATTCCAACTTTTTTGGTTGGGTTTCAAATTTTGTAGTATAGGTTATGACCTTTGGTCGATTTCAATTTTGCTGGATTAGGTTACAATCTTTTGCAAAGGCTTCCAACTTTTAGGTTAATTGGATTATGTTACTACTTTTTTTGCGTTATGTTACTACTTTTTTACATTGATATTAGTTGACTTTTTTTCTAGTGAAACCATGATTACACTAGGCCATGTTCTGCATCATCCACTCCTATGGTGAAATGGACAGTACAACTCGCAAATTATGGTCAGGATACAGTTTCACTTGTGAGACTGCTACATTCTATGGATTTTCTCTTCCCTCCACTGTTGACGGATTTTTATTCTTTTTAGCAAGTATTTTTTTTGGCGTAGAAGAAGAGAAGAAGTTGTTGGACAAGTGTGAGCACATCCGCGAGAGGATGCATATGTTAGTTGAGAGGATGCAAGTTCTCGATGAATTTGGCTACAGTGGAAGGAGGGCTTGTTCCTGGTTAGCAGCCATTTCAACCTCACAAGTGAATGGGAGTTTAAAATATTTTTTAATTAAAATGTTGAGGACATTAGATTGGAGTGCATAGACTAATTGGTGAGAATGGTTGTTGATTGAGTATTGGTTGGTAGAAATAGACATGATCTAGAATATTTTGCATACATGAATATTGTTTTGATGAGTACAATGGTAGTCCTTGCCTCTAGTTGGCATAAGTACATAAATGCCCTTATTGTCCATTTGAACCATTATTTAAGGAGACTTAAATTTCATATGCCTTGACTAGTGGATCTGCATTTTTTTCTACTCTCCTCTACATTTTCTTCCCTTCCGTTTTACGTCTACATCTCCTTCCTTTTATACTCTCATTTCAAGATCTTCAACTTTTTGTCTTTGATTTTGAACCAGAGAATGACCAAACAACATAAATGGTATGTTATTTTTAAGTTTAGTGTTGTTGGCATTTACCCATCATGGGAGGAATACCATCAACATGT